GAAGTGGTTGGTGAGTGTGTACAGAACACATAGTTTAAAATTTTTTGTTAAGATTTATTGAAATAATTGTTTCTCTTCGAAGTATTCTGTTAATATTGACAGCAAGATAACCAATGGATCAGTTCTCCAAAGCCGGCCACACAGTCTCCTCACAACCAGCCAGACTCTGCTGCCTGTTCTCCTCTATGCCCTTCTTCCATTTTATCTTCACTCCTGCCGCTATTTCCAACAGGTGATCTCATACACATAGTATTTGTGGAAGCCAGGGATTGTATTACAGACTCTATACTGTTCAGCCTCTTTAGACCATAATTTTTAATGATTAATCCGCGACAACCAGCTGATAGATAATTTAAACTGTAAAATGTAAGAAGATTGTAAAAAAGCCTAGAAATGTAAAATTACATCATAATATTTCAGAGGGTCAAAGTTTGTTTGGTTTACAGTCACACAAAACTGACAAGCAGCACATTTTAAATTTTAGAAATCTAAAAAACATTTTTTTAAAAATGATTTAACAACTGATTGGAAACCTTTTCAGAAGTAATTTTAAGAGTGAAATGTGTTCTCGAGAGAGCGGGTCCACTCCCAAGAAGAATCTATTAAAGTTATATTTGTTTCTAATTCTGAGGATAGACATAGTCTGACATAAGGAGATCTTCTTTTACACCATTCAGTCGAATAAACTGCATGTTGTACTGTAGCATAGCAGGTGTTAGTGCAATGCACCTGAAGGAGTACCCTGAAACAGAGTAATTAACTTGGTTTGGTGTGAACCGTTCGTGTTTCTCGATTGCCTTCTGGTGCCAGAAAATAAAGAGCATCCAAAAGCATTCTGCAGGATTTGTGCTTTGCAAAAATTATGAACAGGTTAATTTAAAAAAATAAAAAAAATCTACAAATCTCAATGTGAAGATTTATATGTAGGAGCTGTTTTCTCTTTGCTATGTCTGTCAACCAGAAGACATGTGCAGCAAGCTAACACTGCAGCTCTGCTGAGAGGTGGGTGCTGTCACAAGCATGGAAGGACCAGTGGTGAACCAGCGACAGGGTCATGACGCATGAGGGGAGTGGCCTGTACGACCCAATCCAAGAGATGAACTGGTTCTGATAAAAAGGTGTCAGAATACAAAGGACATCGCAGGTTGTTGTGTGTGGGGCTGCATAACCTCGGACCAGTCAGAGTGCTCATGCTGAACCCTGTCCACTGCCAAAAGCGTAAACAGCGGGCACGTGAGCCTCAGAATTGGACCACAGAGCAAAGGGAGAAGGTGGCCTGTTCTGATGAATCACATTTCCTTTTAAATGACACTGATAGCTGGGTGCCTTGCTTACCTGGGGAATACCTGGAACCAGACTGCACTTTAGAAAGAAGGGAGTGTGATGCTTTGGGCATGCACAGCCATTTTGCAGAGCACAACAAAAAGTTTGACCTGTTTGGCCTCCAAATTCCTCAGATCTCAATCCAATCAACCATCTGTGGCATGTGCAAGTCCTATTCATGGAGGTCCAACCCCTGAGCTTTCAAACTTAAAGTATTTGTTGCCAGATGGTGGTGCCAGATACCACAACACACCTTCAGTGGTCTAGTGGGGTTTAGGAGGCAAAAGGGGAACCATCATAATATCATGCATGTGGTCATAATGTTATTCCTGATCAGTGCAGGCTGGAGTAATCGATATGCAAAAATAGCACCTCAGAACCAAAAGAGGGAGTTTGTGAAATGGATTATGGAGTGAAGTGTCCTTAAGTGTGTCCTCCTGCCTGTGTTTAAGTTTGCTCAAATATTCTGTATGTTAGAACAAAGTTTCAACTTTCTCTGAGACCAGCAGGGGCTGTTCAGATGTTTCTGGCTGGTCGCTTTCATGGTGCCCATCAGACTGTGACCGAGGCTTAGGCTTGGGAGTAGAGGTTGTGCGCGTGGGGTGGGGATGGAAAGACAGCATCATATGGAGGGGGGAGGGGTTGGGGGTTGTCATTTAGGAGTGAAGGGGCCAAGCGGAGGAGCAAATTGCTTTTTAATCGATCATATTCCCAGTAAAAGCCACTCCCAGCCCCCGCTCGCCTACTCTTCCCTGCTATTTATAGAAGCTGCACTTGTGTGACTACAGTGTGTGTGCTGTGTGTGAGAAAGAGAGAGGAGAGAGAGTGACATAGGGAAAAAAAACAGCAGGCAGGGTTGAGTTTTGTTGACCACTTTAAGTCACTGAAATAGAACTACATTCCCTGTTGTTATCACAAGTCAAAGGCCCCGTGCATATGTACTTTTTTGCTCATTAAAACCTGAGTACTACAGGGACCTTGCTTTATTCATGTGGTTAAAGATGACAGCCTTTTTTTTTTTTTTTTTTAATAGCAAGCTGTTGCTTTGCAAAGGCAATGATTCCAGGCCAATGATACACGAGCACCAGACACTATTCCACCAACAATAAAAAGAAACAACACCACCCAGTCAAAGATGTCATGTGCAGTCGTAGAAGCCCAACAATGCTGTAATGTGATCAGTCTCCCAGCTCCAGTTTCTTGAATCTATTTTGAGTGTGATGCCCAGTGTTGAGACTCACACTAACAGACGCTACCGTGCAGCGTGCACGAGTAATAAATTATGACTCAGCCCAGTGCTGCTGCTGATTGTTGGATCCATTTTCCGTGATGCCGTTGTTTCTAGCTAATCTGCCCCTCGGGGCTTTTGAAAAGGAAGTTTAAGTCTTTATTTTCCTGCTCTGTTGAACATTTTTTTTTGTTCTTTTCATAAAGTAGTGAATCATCCCCTTTGTTTAAAAAAAAAACCCAAAACAAAATAAAGAAAAAAAAATCTCCAGCTGTAATGGTGTCACATAAAAGATCCTGCAGAACGAGCAGTACCAGTGAATGAGGCCGCCGCTTGCAAGCGCTCCTGTCAGTTCTCCTTTGCAGCCCTCCCAGGAATTGTAAATGTCGTCACAGTCTCAACAAGACAGGTTTGTGCTATTTGCTGAAAATGTTTAATGTTGGATGTGCCTCTGTTTCTCTGCAGTGCACCAAAAAAAATGTAGGATTGTTTATTATGACTTTGTAGAAGTTCAAAGACAGGATCTAAATGAGAAGAGCAGAAGCACGCTGGCTAATTTACTGTAACATTCCAGTAATCTGCACAGAAGTGGAAGGCTGAGCAAATTAAAGAGCTTAGAGTGAGAGGAGACTAGAAGGGGAAGGATGGAGAGGTATGCCAGGTTCCCAGCTGCATCCTCCTCTGTGTCAGCATCTTGTCACGGTCTGACCCCTCTGACCAAACAGACATGAGCCTCACCACTCCATGCCGCTGTCTGTCTCCCTCTTATACCCACTGTGTGCTTCTAACACAAAGGTGCTTCAGCAGCCTTCCTGTTGAGACTAGTGGGAGAGTGGCAGGCATTATTGATTGAATATTTTAAATCTGATACCTGCAGATCAACACTGACATTCTGTCTCTTTTCTTTGCATCACTAGGAGACATGTTGATATTATTACTGTTGCATATCTGACCAGGGAAACTGACTAGAAGGACTTTAATCAGCAGCTTCTGGATATGAGCCAACAGATGTGAGATTTGGGTGGGGTGTCACTTTGAAATGAAATATTGCAGCATTGGGAGGTACATACAAAAAATGATTATGTGTCAGGCTACATTCAGGACTGTATGTAAATGAAAAATGCAAGTGAGCAGTATTTCACCCTTTTGATGCATAAGGCAAAAACCTTATTATGACTCGGTTGATAAAAATGCACAGAGAACTACAGTTGCACATTGATCTCTGAGTGGAGCCCAACCAAATGCCATGACACGTCGTTCTCATATCATTATATCAGCCAGTGTTCTTCTGATGCAACTATGGAAACGCAGATAGAGATATCTGTGAAGGTCCAATCTGAGGTGACCAATACTGCCATGGGAAAAAGAAAGCTCACAGGAAAAACTAAGTGCAATCCATGATTAAGTTTTCCGGTTCTACCTTTAGAAGCAATAACTTGAAGTAGTATGACTTTATCAGCCTTGATTACATCATTGTGAATGAATTTTAGCTCACTCTTCTTTACAGCACCGACTCACTTCATTGAGGTTTGTGGTTATTCATTTATGCATCATTGTCCTGTTGTAAGACCCAGTTTTGGGCAAGCAAATCTCTGCTTTGGTCTTGTCTGTCCAACGGACTGTATTCCAGAAGTTGGATGATTTGTTTAGGTGCAGCATTACAAAATTAAGCTGTGCTGCCATGTTTGCTTTAAAGAGAATATGTTCTCTCTTGGCAACTCTTCCAAACCAGCCATATTTGTTCTGTCTTTTTCTAATTGTACCATTATACACAACTTTTACCTAATGCTTGTAGAGTCTGAGATTCGGTTTTTTGTTTTTCTGGGGCTGAATTAGCTGGGAATTTCACTCCTGGGAGATTAGAATGTTTTGCACCTGTGAATAAATTTCTTGCTATAGAGTGATGGACTTCAAAATGTTTGGAGGTGGCGTCATATCACTTTCTAGATTGATGGACAGCAATAATTGCTTCTCTCAGATCATTGCTGATGTCTTCGGCATCTGTCTTTGGGTTGGTGTTAACACACGCCTAAATGATCCAGACTACAAACGTTCAAAACGTCTGCCTTTGTAGAGTTTACCATCTGTCTTTGACTGCATAGAGTCATGTGAGGACTTTGTTTTACACATGACTGTACAATCTCTATATGATAGATGATAGAATGATAGATATCCCTTTTCTTGACTGTACAGCAGTTCATTGTTCTAGTTCTTGCAGTAATTTAAGTCATGAAATATTCTCCGCAGTAACTGTGGCTTACCAACCACAATATCTAAGATATTAAGAAGAAGTATTTGCTTGGAAACATACCCATGCTCTTTATGGGTTTATATATAGATGCTATCTGTCCCCATTTAGGTAAAACATATTTTTGGATTTATTCTTGTAAATTCATCCTCTTTGTCTAGTCCTCAAACAATTCTGAAATGTCTTTAATCTGTTTTTCAGGTACAGCAGCCCAAGAGTTGTGACTCTGCTCTGATAAATGTCAGCCTGCTCTGATATTTGTATGGGTCTATCGCCACAGCCAAAGGTGAGTTCATGCTATTGGCAATCCAGTTGTAATATATGTTGTTGTCAGAGGTTTCAACAGGTGCAGCACACGTTATGAGACAATGTTAAAGTGCATCTGCAGAATCAAAGAAGCAGTTTATGTAGCTAATTTAAAGTTTGGGTCATCCAAGTTGTTGACACTTCTTTTGTCTGCCAGGTCTGTAGGGCTGCACTTTTATACAGGAACAGACAAAATTTCTCCTCTTACATATATCTTAGTTAGCTTTCTTGAATTCATCCTAGGAAAATGCTACAAGTACTCCATTTGACAGCCTTTTTTGAGTATTCTAACGTACTGATGTTCTTGTTTCAGATAGATACAGTAATGCCTTGTTGGCAGTTGACAAATAATTAAGGCCTTGGTGTTGGTTTCCTAGGAGCTGTAAACTGAAGTTGAACCTATTTGTGGAAGTTAAGATCCCCTTCCCCCCAAAAAAAGAAGTGAAGAGAAAAACATTGGTCAGACTTTCTTTGCTAACTCTGAAAAGAGGACTCTGTTTAGTCGCTGATTTACTCGAACACTGAGTAGCAACCGTCTGTTGTTCCATTTTGATACTGTGGTTAATCTTGCTTCTGGCAGCTGAAACGGGGCATTTGTGTAGTGTGAATGAATACAAAGTATATCCCAAGTCCAGGTCATGTTTTGTTTCTGTCTTGATCTTGTACTTCTTTTTTAATGGGATTGAGCTATTGCGCTGGCTGTTCTTGGGGGAGCAGTACATCACCGGAGCTGTGTTTGCCCACCTCAACTACGAGTTTTATCCTGGCTTCAGATGAGAGACCAGCTTTAAGACCTGACAAGAAGAAGATATAAAGACTAGCCAAAAACAAAATTACGCAAAATCGTAAAGTCAACCAGGCTCCGGCATCCGGTATTGAAAGCACTGGCAGGGGATTTTAAGCCACCTCCACTGCCCCCTGGGGCTATGGTTCTGCCTCAATTGGTACCTTTTCTACTATTCCCCTGAGAGGCAGGAACAGACTGCTGGGAGAGAACCACTCAATGATACCTCAGTATCATATCTTTTTAGAATTCCTGCAGAGGGGCGAAGTGTTTATTTTTCTGATTTAATGTTTCATTTTTGTCCCTCTCTTTAAGTGCTAAAAACCTTTTCCTTTATTATTCATGCAGGTGGTAATAAGTGACCATCTGTGGACCCACTGTTTATCGCAGATTGGTTTCAAAAGAGGTGAAATCAGGGACACACACTCAGTTGCTCATTAAGCACCCTGCAGTTCATGCACTTCTTTTTTATAGTTGCATAGCAACTAAAATAATCAAGTGCACCTTGTGCCGTTTAATCTCTTATTCTTGTTTGTTACTGGCAGCCGACGCGAAACTTCTCATTTGTGTTTATGGAAAGCTTGCGTGATGACCACGGGACAAAAACTGATGCAGTGAGATTTTTCTTTGTAAATAACAAGTTCAGTGTGACCTTTCTCAGTAAAACTAAAGCATTTGGTCTTCAGTTATAAATAATGTCCACCTCAGCCCTTGCCATACCTGCAGAGGATGTCAGCGTACAACAGGTTCACCATGTAAAACGTGCAGAATAAATGCAGGGCTGAGAAGGTTAAGTGGACTGACATAAGGTCAGTGTAGTTATCTGTCTATAAGACCCATTTTCATATCAAGGTCATTTTATCCGGAAGTCCTTGGCTCCTCAAAATGGCATCGGTTTAATTAATTCTCTGGAGCTTCACTAAGAAAGACCATTTTAGTAGAAAAGGACCACATATTAATCTGCTGGCACGGGGCCAATTACGGTACCCTGTCACTGTTCGTGTATGGCTTGTGTGGACTAATTGACTTGTCCAGACCTGAGCTCTGTGATTTAAACTTTGGTGTATGGCAGAAAAGTGGGACTATAATAATGTAATGATAATGCGGTAATGGTAATCGCATAATGTGGAATTTTTTGAATTTGTGGTGAAGAGTGCTGAAGAGCATTTTCATTTGCGGTCTGTAGAGTCTCTGCAACTTTATAAATGTTGTTGTATCACAAGCAGGTAGGTGCTACTGTTTCATGTAGCACTGCCTCTTCATCAAAGTTTTACACACGTTTCACTCCCAAAGCGTAACATATTAAGCTATGTGACCAATCGTTGGTAACCCAACACGTTTCTATGTCACGCGTTCGGAAAAAGGAGGAAACATGAGAACCGTTTGGACTCAATCTACACATGTACATTTATTTTACGTTCTCATCATGAATCGCTTTGGAAAACACTATCTAACGTGATTAAGGTTGTGGTTAGGGTTAGGATTAAGGTTAGGGTTAAGGCTGGAATACACGGCTGGAATGTGTGTTACCACCAGGAACGTCATTCTACTGGATTTCATCCACAATCCGGCGCATACCATACGAACACCGAAGGTTACCTTTTGCGTTCTCAGAGTGTTTTAGTCATTTATCACCTTCTCAGGTGTTTCTCATTTTCTTTGAAACATATACTTGCTAACTAAATATTTGAAGAGGTCTGACTATGGGCCAAATAAACAGGCGACTTCATTGGATCTTGAGCTTTGGGAATTTAGTTATTTCTATATGTGGGACTCCAGGATCAATTGAAAATTTTGAAAACAAAATCACTGTATCCCTGAATATGTATGACCATGTCAATGTTTCTACTACAAAGTGCAACAGTTGAAACCCCTGTTAAATCACAAATCTACAGAATTGATAATCACATTTTTTGGGGAAATCCGAGTTCAGTGAGACAAGCCACACCCGGGCCTGATTACTGTCAGACCCGTTGAATCAATGAATCACTTAAATTGAACTTGTCTGACGAGGTGGCGTAGGCTTAACGATCCCAAAAAGCATCACATTGTGCCACAAACTAAAGAAATTTAAGAACAGCTGAGAAACAAAGTCATTCGTCTTGAGGGTGGCTGTCACTCGTTAGGAAGAGCAGGTCATCTACTAATCAGATGGTTGGTAGTTCAATCTCCAGTCTCCAAAGTATCCTTGGCCAAGATACTAAACCCTGAGTGGCTTTTCTTTTTGAGACCAATTTCAGTCAGCAACTGCTGGTCGATGAGTTGGGAATTCCAAATTTTCCCACTAAACCTGTGGTTACCAGATGGTGTCTGATGAGTCTTTAGGCCTGTGTGACTATGGCTTAATGTGTATATTGTTTATGTTGCCCCCGGAGATGATTTCAATTGCTTATATACTGCTTGGTTAGCTTTATGTATACTAGTACAGCATAGTAACTAAAAATAGGTGGCTGGGAGAGAGAATAAGCCTCACAAATACCTGTTCAATCAGTGCAGAGTCAAAGGGTTCCTTCTCTTTTAGTGGTATCTGGCGGAGCTAAGTATTGAGCTTAAAATCCATGCTTATGGCAGACATTATAAGTTGGCTCAGCTCTGTCCTGAAATTCAGCAACTGTTTCAACAAAGTTTTGAAGATTCTTTTTTTGACAGTGCTGTTGAATGTGCAGAGGAGGACTTTTAATAAGACAGCATCAGCCAGCAGTCACACAGCCCATCTCTAAGGGCCAACAGGCCCACAGCCTGAACTCAACAGCTTTCTGTCTCTCCCCCCCCCCCATCTTTTTGTCTCTTTCACACTGACACCTTTGAGAATCTGGTGTTTTGTTTTTATCTGAAGGAAGAGCAACTGCTGGCCCATAGGCCAGTATTCCCAGTATGCTCAGTTTTCCAAAGAATTGAGATAGAGGAGTATTTATTAGAGGTAATCGTGCTTTTTATGAAACCCACTCTCACGTTTATTTGTGCTTCTTTCACATTAGATTTCTTTTTTACATGATTAATCAGAACAATTGCTCAAGAGAACTGCTAGCCCAAGTGACACTTAGGCCATGTTGTTACTGAAATGATTTCTTGACATCCTCTCCCCTCCGCTTCAGGAAGCGTTCAAATAATGTTTATTGCACACTTTGATTCATTCAATGCCAGAACTAGACTGAAGCCACTGTTAATCATTTTATGCACTGGAGGCACATTAATGGTCTGACGAAAGATGACTTTAATAAGTTAATGTACGGCAAGTGAGAAGAGCTTTTTATGACTGGATCTGGCACCATGAATTGGTTGAGACAGAGCGCGAAATGGGTTTTCAGCCATGCAGTCAACTCGAGTCCACAGCTGAATGTGCAATCTTTTTAGGAAATTACAGGTTGTAATGATAAAGCCTTCGCGTCTGCATTTACCACAGTAATGAGGCTGACCATACTCATAACATGCCATTTCCAACATTTCAGCTGCAGCAGAGAACTTGACGGTGAAAAAAACAAGAGGTTTTTCAGGCTTCTTAGATTGTATGTTTGACTTGAACAAAAATTAGTGTGGTGCTGAAGATATGGATGGTGTGTAGAGCTCATATTTGCGGAATCCCAAAATATGAATGTGGTGGGGTTTAGCTGGAGCCAAAATTTCTGTGTATCTACTGCATATTCAACCTGATGCTATTTATTATATTCCCATTCTGTCACTGCAGCACATTAATAACACTGTGGAAATACCTTGGGACCAACTGCTCCATTTTAGTCGGTTTGTATAGCACTTTCGCTAATAATTACATCTTCCAGAGCAGTCCAGAGAGAACATGCACTTATCTCCAGTGGGCTGCTTCTTGGGTGACAATTGTGGGTGTTTTATTAAATGGTCACAAATTATAGTGCCACCCCAGGAGGGCTGCTGTCTTTAGTTTCCTCTGTGATATTGTTATGGAAAACTTTAGTCTGCTGGCAAAAAGGTCACAATAAAGCCCGTCTGTGTTAAAATCTCTTCTCTAGTCATGGTTTTACCTATCTGAATTAAATGCCATAATGTCTGCACGCTAGAACAAAATGTTTAGCACCTTATTGTAATTTGTTAGCATGCTAACACACTACACTTATTTTCAGGGAACGTACATGAAGTGAACATGTCTCCCTAATGACAGTGCATTTACAATATGAGCCTTTACTTTTAATTCTATGGTACTTTTGTGGTATGTTACTGTAGTT